ATTTAGGATACTATATAAGACTTATACAAATCGATTGCATATGCATTTAAAGGGTGTATGCAATAACAGATAAGTCCAGACTTGGGACCAGACAAAAGTATGTATTTAGAGGAGTTATGCATTTAGAGGAGATGCATTTAGAGGAGTCTCACTGTATTAATATATCATTTTATCATTAGTAGCATCATGGCAGCAATTTTGTTTGAAGTTGACAGTTATCAAGACATACAGGGAGAAGTTTCATTGCAATTGCATATTGAAAACATATTTAATCTCAAGAAAGCAGTTAAAGCCAAATTGAAAGTTCATTTCCAACCTTCTACAAAGAACAGCAATTTGACACTCTTGACATTAGCAAACTTGTTCTCAATATCAAGTCAAAGCTCAAGAGTGAGACCAATGCACAAGCACAACAGCTACAAGATCCAAGAGAAAAGCTTTTAGAAATTCATAGTGTAGGCCCTACCAGCAAGAACAGAGGTAGAATATCAGAGATCCAAAAATATTTTGCCAACCATTTCAGCCTTCTTGTCTCTTTTCCAGGCAAGCAAGCATTCCTGAAATCTGATGATTGCCTTAATCTTAATTTTCATGACCTCCTGTTCTTCTTCAATCTGACTTGATTTGCCTCATGCCCTCATTATTATTAGCACCTACAGGTACCTTTCAGCCTTTTTTATGTTGCCATTGATTTCAAGGCTTGACTGCTTACTGTTACAGTCAGGAATTAAATGGGGTTTTTGGGAGAGCGATTTATCTTTTCGTGTAGGTGTGTTTGCCGACCAGGGGATGTTACTAGGCTTAGCTTGTACTGTCGCCCTTACTACGATAGTTGTGCAATTAAGACTGAATTAAGCCTCAAGTGACCTATTTTAATTATGCGCGCTTCTCACTCCCTATCTGTGTTTCAAACCGTGAATACAAATAAGAGTACCTCTAATAGAATAATAACAATAATTATTCTATTAAGGAATAATACTATTTTAAATTTAAACAGGGCTATCTTCGATTTGTTTGTCAACTAGTCGGTATCCGTCACTTGTCTTTACTAAACTAATTAAACAATAATCGTCTCGATAATTAATCATGAACTCTCGTTCCTGTAATTGATCAGCGGACCTTACTAGCTTGATTAAATCAATGCCATTTCTGTTACAGCTTAAGTGAGCCGTTTATTGGAGTTCCTTTACAGCTTGAATGAACTGTTTAGTGAAATGTCTGGTCAAATAATCAATTATTTTGATGATAGAAATTAATTGGATATTTATAATAAAGGATTGCAGGAGAATATTGCTAAGATCAGTAATATTTTAATGAAAATGGTTCAACTAGTATTGAGGGAGGAATAAAAATTACCCAGAAGGTAAAAACAAATTCTAAAATACATGCTTTTCTTCATTGGCAACATTTGCAACATGAATATTTGGTGATGAAATATGAGCTACTTATATACACCCCCCTGCCAAAATTATAAGTGCAAGCGACGATCGTCTTCATAGCCACAACACTTCAAATTTAGTTTACTCAGAAATCCACATAATAAAAATCGGTTTAATTTACATCATTCGACTTGCCAAGACATGCTCTTTTTAATGGTATAAATGGCAAAGTGTGTTTTGCAGAATTTATACGTACAATGTAAGAATTAC